AGCCCTGCAGAAAGAAAGAAAGAGAGGGCGATCACAGCAAAGTTTTCTGTGGCACTCTTACTGTTTCGAACCATGTTTTCCTTGAGCGAGTGTTGGTGTACACCGATCGCCCCAGTTCCAGTCACCGACCGTTGGAGGACCCACTGACGACCCGGGTAGTGCCTACTGGTCCTGATCACTGGTCATGGTCTTAGGAGGGGCGTGTTCGGGGGTCGGAGTTCCAGGTACACCCGGCGGAAAGTGACAAGTCCTCAAAGGGGCCTCTCCGTAACTCAGACGCGCACGTCAGGGGTTGGCCCTCGGGCCGGGGTTCCCCGAAAACCCAAACAGGCTTGCCTCTCCTGTCCCGGGAGGGAGACAGAGTGTCTGTCCCCCCAGTCCCGTAGTCCTGGCGAAAGTGGGGACAGACAAATCCCCTCTGTGAAGTCCAGCTGTGTCGGTATTCGATGTTGTTTTTTCAGTCTTCGAGGGATGCAGCTGGGGTTCATCAGTAATGGTGTCCATGCATGTCGTCGACTAGGCGGACTCACGTACTGAACAGGTCGTCTTATGTTGGCTTGGTCTTCGAGTTTTTGGTACGTGGGACATTACCGGTCGCCCATGTCACCAAACCCTCCGAAAGCCCCATACGCACTGGGGGGCCCTAGTGGCCGGGGGGTCTCGAACGCCCCTTGCACCCGAAGGAAGAAGAGAGTGGAGAGGCAACTCTCCTTTACACCCCTGGCGAAAGAAAGAGAGAGAGACCCTCACCCTTCTCGCCAACGAACGCGAGTTCGCACGGCGGAAGCAGTTGGACCGCTGCTTCTGCCTCGATCGAGAGAGAGACCCTCGCTGGGTGTGGGTTTAGTTCACAAGTCCTCCTGGGGGGACCAAAGAGCAGATAGATACCAGTCGGGCAGCCACATGTAAGCCGATGTGACCACGAAGCACGAAGGGGACGTCTTGTGATATGATGCATCTTTCTCGGCGGTTGAGTTGTGCACTCTTGGGGGATTAGCCGTTGCAACTTTTCCCATTCCGTGGTCGGAGCCTCAAAGAGATACGGGCTTACTGAGTTACTGGTGGGGGTAGCTTCGGTCTAGACGGTTTGCAGGTGCCAGGTCGGCCTTGTCAGTTGTGGAAGCAAATCGGCGAGTTAGAGGGGAAACACTCGATGCCAGCTAGGTCTTTCGTGTTGTCCTTTGTGCTGCTGGGGGATTCTCTTTCTGAGCCCGTTGTATAGCCAAGCCAATGGGGGGGCACCCGCTTGGACACGCAGGTGCCGTGCGCGCGCGCGCGGAGGGGTGGGTTTCCGCCTGCCTCTTTTGCCCCGGTAGAGACAGAGAGAGAGAGGGTTGTTAAGTAGCCATTTTGGCTCAAGCCGCGAGTGGTTCAAAGAGAGGTGACCTCACAGCCCAACACTTCTCTCCGCTCTCTCCCCCCTTTTCTTGAGGTCATCGTCTCTCAACCCGGGGGCAAATCCCTTGCTCTTGTCTCCTTGCCGCCCGAAGCGATTGCGGGACGCCGAGAAGGGCTGCCGTGAGCTCCTCGAGCACATCGCTTCTAAGGGGGAGATAGGTGAGCAACGTTCCCCAACGGTGACCGCTGCTGTCCAGCACTTTCAGGACTTTGAGTACCGCCCCAACCACGCAATCGGCGAGCCTACTCACCTCCGAGCACTACTCGTTGATTCAGCCATTCCTGTACCTCGAACGTCGGTTACGTCAACGTCAAGTCCGTGATTTTGGCAAGCAGGCGAACCTGGTGCTCCTCACACTACGACCGCCACAATGACCCTACCAGCAGCTAAGCAGGCCATGGAAACTGAGTCTCCAGCGCGCAAAAGGGGGGTTCCCCCTGAAGAAGGGCTCAGCTTGGAATCAATTCGTGAAGTCTTGCGGACAGAAATCCAAGGCGCAGTGGGTGGGGTTACAGACCGTGTTGCTGCTTTGGAGAGGAGCCTACAAAGCCATAATGAGAGGACCTTTCAGGCGGTGGAAACCTTGTCCACCGGACAAGCCGAGCAGGGCCTGCGAATCCAGCAGCTGGTCACAGATTCACGTGCGATGGCGACCCGTCTCAACACCTTGGAAGGGACCGTCAAGACGATACAATCAGCGGGGAGCACCCCGTCAACAATGGACTCGGGACGTGTCCCAGCCCTGGTGATGGGCGGCTGGCCTCCTGACACCTTGGCTGCAGATGTCTTGGCCAAAGCAAATGAGATGGCACGAGACCTCCAGTTACAGATCAACATGGCTGATGCCTTTGTCCCTGGAGTCAGACGAGGATTCGTCCTTGTCCCCATCTCGCCTATGGACGGGGAAACCGAAGACGGCATGCGACAGCGCATCCAGCAATGCATCAGGCGGGTCAACGCCTCAAATATCTCCCTTGGATGGAAGCCCGACGGTAACCAAGCAAGGCTCTGGCTTACTTTGAGCCAGCCACCGGAAAGGCGACGCAGAGCCGCCCTTGCTGGGAAAGTCAAACGACTTCTCATCGAAGCCGGGGGTCCCTCCTCGATTGCGAGGATCGAACCCGAGTGGGCAACCGGTGCAGTATGGTTCAAGGACACCAAGATCTCTTCCGGAACCTCAGCGGGCCCGCCTGGGTCTAGCACTGCAGGGTGTGGGTGGATTGACCTCCCTAAGACTTTAAGATTGCTGAGCTCCTCGGGGTGGAGTTGCAACAGCTGAACAAGGCATGGGAGCCGCTGCTAGCGGCCTTGCGCCGAATCGATGTCGAGTTCTCCCAGGGAGAAAACCCCAACATGTCTCACCATATTCCTGTACGCCTTCGACCGTCTCAACAGGAGACCAAGCTGGAGGCCCCGCGTGATGCTCTACATTTTGCCGCTTGGAACCTAGGAGGGATGAGCCCGGAAGCTGTGCTGGACTTTCTCTCTGGATTCCGAGGGGAAAAACCCCTGGCCCGACTCAGCATTGTTTTTCTCCAAGAGATCACAACGCAAGGTGGGCCTCACTTCCTTGACAACGAAACGTGGATGCTGGTCCATGGAAAACTCCAGCTTGAATGGAGAGGATGTGGAATTGCCTTCCGTAAAGTCCTGGGAGTGCATTCCAGCTCACACCTTAAGCTAGCCGCATGTACAGTTTGCCTCAAGCTCCATGATTCCAAACAGGTAGGTCTCATTTCAGGCCACATTTCTCACAAGTTCACTATCGCCGAGACAGCCTCCGCGTTACAGCAATGGGGGGAATCCCCAGCATGCCATGTGCCTAAGCTCCTCATGGGTTTTGATGCCAATGAGACCTTTGTGCAACCAGGTGATTTGCTCGAAACCGAAACGCTCTCGTGCACAGGCAGGGGAGAGCAAATCCTCACATGGTGCACTGAACTAGGCATCAGCCTGCCACTGCAAGACTGCGAGAGCCCGAGCCACTTCCCATATAATCCCGAGATGTCCCCCCGCAGGATTGATTACGTTGCTGCCCGTAACCTTGCGGTCCCCTTCGCCTCGGTAGGCCAATACCGTGATAGGGCTAGATCGGATCATGAGCCCATCCTTGCTGCAGCCAAATTACCTGCCCCCCAAGGTCCCAAAGGTAAGGTCATGTGGTGTGCAAGGCAGCTGAAAGCCGATTGCCATACCGTTCTAGCCTCGACCATTGGCCCGCAAGCAGACCACCACCATGCCATTGCAGCAGTCGCCCAACTCATTTCTGAGCCAGTCCACCGGTCTCTGAAATTCCAGGAGTCCGCTAACCTCAAGCAGCTCCGTAGAGCGGCTAAGGGGGCCCCCCCTGGTAGCAATGCGCGGGCCGCGTGGAAGCAAGTAGGCAAGGTTCTTCACCGGGAAAGGCGGGAGTGGCAAAAAGGCCTAGCAGACAGAGCGGGAAATATGGAATGGAATGCATACCGTGCAATTAAACAAAAGTCGTCGCGGTCCAACTGGGCCGAACACCTGCTAGACACAGACAACTGGGAGGGTGACCTCCACAAGCACATGACATTGATCTTTGCCAAACGTCCCGCTGATGCCACGAGAGTAGCGATGCAGGAAATGAGAGACACGTGCAGTCGGCTGTGTAAGGGGCGCCCATGGCGCCCCTTCAGCGAAGCAGAGATGCGAATCACCATGGCAAAATGGAAGCGCCGCAAGGCAACAGGCACCGATGGGATCTCCCTTGAAGCGCTACAACTCCTCTTTGAGGATGCACGGTGGCGCCCTCGCATCGCCGAGTTGATCAACGATAGCCTCTACAAAGGGGAGCTGACCCCTTGGGTCGCGGAAGGCGCCTCTGTCCTCCTCCCCAAAACGGCGGTTCCCAAAGGCTGGTCTGACACCAGACCGATCACCTTATCCAGCGCGATCCTCAAGTGGATCGCCCAACTCCTCCTTCTTCGGGGGACCCCCGCCCTCCTCGACTGTTGTCAGCACCAATGGGCGAGCAAGGGTAAGCGAGGGGTTGAGCTCATTTTGGCAATGCGCAAATTAGCACGAGTGGCACATGAATGGCGCACACCGTTTTATGTAGTGAAAATTGATATAGCTAAGGCCTTCGACTCTATTGCGCAGGAAAAACTAGGCGACCTGGTTATGAGAAAGATTGCACATCGGGGTGAAATGCCCTGGGAAGCTCGTCTATGGCTCAGTCTGCTCGAAGCAAGACAACTGAATTTCTACGTGCAAAAATACAAAGTCCCAGTCACCCAAACCAACGGAGTGCGCCAAGGCAGCCCTGACAGCCCTGTCCTTTTTGCAGCCGAGATTGGGGAAACCCTCGACGCAGTGTTGCAGAGTGTCCGGGGAGGTAGTCCCCCACAGGTAGGCCGCCACAACGCCTTGACGCCGCCACCGCATTCAGGTGCTGCTTTTATGGACGACACCTATGTCTGGGGAGAGTCCCCGGAATATGTCCAAGAAGTCCTCTGTGAACTTGAAAAACGGTTCCTTGAACTAGGGCTGCGCATCAATGCAAAAAAGACTCAGGTCATCTCCAACCTGCCAGATGACCCCTTTCGGTTCACTATAGGTGGGGTTGAGGTTGCTCCAGGGGGACCGGATACGGTTATGACCATTCTAGGGGCGCCAGTTACCCTGTCCGGGGCGAGCGCCCCGCTTGTCGCTGAGATGCAAAGCCGAGCGCGGGCCGCCTTTCATGCCAACCGCAAACTGTTGTGCTCCCGTGCCCCCATCGCCGAGCGGCTTAAAATGCAGCAGTCTCTCGTCCGAAGCGCCGCCCTGTGGGGGTGCCCCGCATGGCCGCCCCAAACCGCGCTGTTGCAGGCGGCTAACTCCGCCCAACTGTTGCAAGCTCGAGCCATGATCTGCGGGGGGCGCACCCCCACGGAGTGCTGGCAGGACTGGCACATCCGAACGATGCGGCGAACCAGGGCGATCCTGCACAAACACAAAATCCAAAGATGGTCGACCCATGCACTCCAGATGATCTGGCAGTTATGGGGCCACATCGGACGAGCAGTTTTTCAGCCGACTTTTCATATCCTAAGATGGCGTGACCTCACTTGGTGGCGAGACCAGCAAGCATTGCCCCCAGGTCCCTTCCCCAAGGGTGTGCGGCACCTAGGACATCATAACCCTCACGTTGACCCGGAAAGGCAGATTTCCGCAATCGCAGGCGCCCAATGGTGGATCGCGGCAAGCGACAGACCCCATTGGCAAACCCTCTGTAAGTCTTTTGTCGTGACCTTCGACCCGCCGTGGGCCAGTGGCAACCAACTGTCACTACCGGGGGCTCCTAACCTTGCCCCGAACAGACGACAACCTCGAGCACCAGCCAGCGCTCCCGCGGGGCGAACCATCGGCCCGGGCATGCACCTTGCCATTGCCGCATGACAAATGACTGCACCCACAGGACAGTCGTGCGGCACCCGCCGACCATGCCTCCTCCCCCTTCGGTTTCCCCCCCCTTGGGTTTAGTTCCCACTTGCCCCTTCCCCCCCCAAGACTGCGCGACTGGCCTTCAAGGTTGTGCCTCTCAGGGATGCGCACCTACCACTGCGATGCTGCGACCGCGTACACCCTTTCGGTTTAGTTCCCTAATTCCTGCCGCATTTGCATTGCCCCGTGCCTGATTACCTCACGAGCACATGGATACAACCCCATGCACCCCCAACTCCCGTGTCGTTTCTGTAATATACCATGCACACGCTCAGTGACCCAAAAGAATGCACTAGTGCCTTCAAGCCTTCAATTACGCGCTGTAGTTTGCAAGCGTCCAGGGCGTCAGGTCGGTACACACGAATCAGGTCAGGTCACGTCAATGAACATGCCATGTGCAGAATGCCTGCGACTCCAGAGCTGCAGTCCTGCATGTGCATCAGTTTTCTCGCATGATGGTGCCGTGTCCTGAGAATCTTGGCTGTTCTGCCGCACCTTTCGCCTTGTTCATGGACAGTGCAAATTGAGCCTCTTGACTCAAGCCCAGCTAGCCAAGCCTTCCTTAAGCACCGGAGCGACATGTATCGCCCAACTCGTGGGCCAAGCTCGACAGGTCCGAGCCTGCGATCGAGCTGTTTGCTCTGCCTGCTTGTGGGAAGCTTGTGGTTTTTTCAAGGCGGAGCCGGCCCGAGCCCAAGCCCGCATGTCATTGCCGTTGACTCCAGTGGTGAAAGCGACCTTTCCGATGTCCCCTGGGCGCCCTTGGAGCCGGAACCCCTTGCTGTGCCTAGAGCCCTCGACGCCGACGAGGTGACGGACATGCCTGTGCCCGAGCCGGGGCTCATCCCCGAACTTCCTGAACCAGGGCGTCAACAAGAACGACAACCACCCAGAAGCCACTCTACACGGGGAAATGCGGGAGGTACACCTTCGGCATCCTCGACGGCTTTCCCGGGACTACGTGAACAACGAGCTCGAGTACAAGGACAAACACAGGGAGCCTCTCAGCAACAGACCTTTCAAGTCCCCCAGGGGAACCAACCGCATGCCGGGCATCCTCAAACCATGGCGTACCAAGGGGGCATGGTCCCCCAAAGTTCCCAAGGCCAAGACGCAGGAGCCCAGAGCATCCCGGCATACAGGATTGGCTATGCTCCCACCTACGATCCAGCAGCTGACCCATGGCACGAGGACGGTTTTTTCCCTGGAGTTTCGCCAGCCATGAGCGCTTCCTTGTCGACGCCACAGTACCCTCTGACGCAACCACAACAACCACAAGCTCAGCCCTCCTACGCCAATGCCTACCCGTACGGCCCATGGGAAGATGAAGTGGACCAGCCATCGCCAATAATCACGGCACAACCTGCTGCGCCGCAACAACCACCTCACCTACTTCAGCAAGGAGGACCTACTCAACCGCAAGTACTACACCATGGTCACGACCCACGACTACTACAACAATATCCCCAAGCAGCGAGTGGACCAGCCTACGCTTTCCCTGGTGCAGGCCAGTTCGACCCGCCGACAATGGACCCCTGGAACGTTATCGCCAGGCGCTATGCCTCCTCCGGACCCCTACTACCGCCAGACCAATGGGGCCACAATGCACTGGGACTTGCCGGGGGACGACGCCCCCAACAGCCTGGGTCACCTAGCCTCAGCGAGGCCACCACATGTGCTGGCGATGACACTCACATGGACTGCATGGATGAAGAAGCTGTGCCAGAAGCGGCTCCCCATGATGCAACAACCACAGGGGAGTCATCCCCGGATGACGTCACAGAGCCAGCTGAAGCCCAACAGGACAACGACGAGGAGTACGAGCCAACCGATAACCAACAAGATGACGATTGGGAGAGTGACACCTCCGACAGCGAAGATGATGCCGAGAACGACGAGCCCGAGTCCACCACACCAGCCACGGGGAAGAAAACCCCCAAGCGAGCAGCAGGACATGGGTCCCAACGCCTGGCCAACAAAGCCAAAAAATCCGACGTCAAGAAGAGATGGCGCGAGCTGGAGTGGGGGAAAAAACCACAGTGGTTGAGTTGGCGAGGCGCACTACTATACATACAACGGGGGGAAAAACCCCCGGCCAAGCAACCGCTCCCTCCGACGCCCTCGCCACAAAGAGAGCACCTCCTGTCCCTGCTGTCGGCCCACCACTACAGCTACGACTCGCAAGGGAACATCGTACCACATCATCCACCACGACCCAGGCATGCTGGTCCGATGGAGAACAGCGAGAAGGCAGCGAACCAAGCCAAAGCAGATCATGCCCAACGCAGAGCAACCAACCCCTACACACAACCCACTGCGTCGAGAACATCATCGCAAACAAGACCTACTACCTCCTCCCAGACGAGCCAAGTTGACGACAAAGGGAGCCATGTCACACAACCTCACGCACAACCACAGCGAGAACGTCGACCACCACAACAACAACCTCAACCTCATCAACGACAAGCACGGGGGCGACCCCACCAACAAGTCCAATTCGACCTGCCAGAAGGACACCGCGAAGAACCTCCTCGCCCCGTTCGACGTCAACACACCTGGCGAAAACTTACGGACAGCACGACGGTCCAGCTCAAAGGCGACGGAGTCTACAACTACCCGGTCCAGATAGTCGACAACAGACCATCCCGCCCTCGCGAGCACCACGCGGTCGAGAACACCATGAACCACGGCAGCGACAACATCCCCAACAACAACCTCCACAACATCGAGGGCGACGTCTTGGTAGTCCAGCCCCTGCACCTTACTGAGCCAACGGAATCCAGCTCCTCGTCCTCTTCGTCTTCGGCCAGCCACCCTATGCCACCGAGGGACCCCGAGACAATGACACAATCGGGGGGCCCCCCGCTCCCTGGCATGGATGATTTGGACCAACAGGCAGCAGAAGCCATCGCGGAAGGCCGAGCTCCGGCCTGGCAGATTGAAGGGGACGGGCCAAGCATGAGGAGCAGCGTCAGGGTCGACGACAATAGCCATGACCTTTCCTGGGTCCAGGGGGCAACCCCCCGTACGCTACCCCCTCCAATGCCCCTGCATCCGAGAACAGTGCTCAGCATGAGGGGAAGCGTCACGGGCTCGTGGCGAGGCACAACATGGTCCCCTCCAAGCCAGTCGGTGGTGCGACATCCACCGCGCCAAAATGTGGAGCCTACCATTGTGATTTACAAGACACTGGCGAGTCAGCAAAGCCGGGGGGTCCTCCCCGATGGGCTATATTTTACAATACACCCAGCGGGGGACTGGATCGCCACCACCCGCTTTGAATTAGGGTTCGCGCGAACCCCCAGATTCTGGCTCGTCGTTATCGACCAAGCACCACAGCCAACAGCAGACCGAGCAGACCGATTACCACTGCGACAAGGAGACAGCTTTTGGCTCGAATGGCGTGGACAAGAACGGACCTGGCAACGCCGACCGCGATTCTACAACGATGTCAACGTCCTGGGGGGATTCGCCGTCATCCCCGAAACACAGGCTCCGCGTCCACCCACTCCGCCGCAGCGGCGTGACCCCACGACCCAAAAGGCCCAGCCCAATTATCAGGGAGGTTTCAACCCTCAGCGCTTCGTGGACACCAGACCTTTGAGGGGCAGACTGATACCACCATCAACCAGCTCCTCCCCATCTACGGCCACCACCAGCAGTCCGACCTCAAGGCAGCAGCAGCAGCAAGGCGATGCCAACACGCTCGAGCAGCCCCCCACACCCTTGCAAGCACGCCAAGCCGTGAGGACAACACAAGCTGAGCAACGGCAACCTCACCGAGGGAACCCCCAGCGAGCGGCGAGCAAAGCAAAGCCCCCCCCACCGCCCACCACCTCCTCTGGCTCAGAGTCTGAGACTAGCTGGCCCAGCGAAGACCCAGCGCCACCTGAAGGGGATGATGCAGCTCTTACTCAGATTCGGGCGAACATGACGAACACGAGGCTAGCTACGCCTATTTCGATGCCAGGGGATGTGAACTCCTTCATGCAACAGCGCCGCACCACACCTACGACAAGCACCTCAGGGGAGCAGGCAGGGGAGATGCTGCCACCACCACGTGACCCACCTCAACCACCACAACCTCCTGCGGATCCAGCCCCACAACCACTCGAACCAGAGAACCCTTGGTACTCAGTGGCAGCCAACTTTGACGGCGAGTTCACGGTGAGTGGCCTGCTCCGGGTCCTTCAAAAGATCCTACACGAGATGCTCCAGCAGACCTTCGCCATGCCGAACGAGTACATCACCCATCTGGCATATCACTCCTGCTACTACATCTCCAAGCTCATGAGCACCAACGACCGCCAACTTCAGCGCCAGGAACAGGGGGAAGCCCCTAGCGAAGCAAACGGACCAGGACCGACAGCTATGGTTTTCTGCATCACGAATCCCTTTGTGGAAGCAGAAGCAGCACTAGACAGCTTGGTACAACATCAACGTGATCTACCACGACGACATCTCCTCAAAGAACTCCGACGAGCTGAAGCACTCCTAAAGGATGGCAGGGCTATTTTCAAAAGCTGGTCAAGGAACCCAAACGCACCTGGCGCTTTACCGGGGACTGCAGCCTCGCAAAATGCCCTGGACGGCATAGATTTCTCCTTCCTCGCCAGCGAAGAAGGGGGGGTCGCAAACCTTGACGAGTCCCTGCGTATTGCTCTGGCTGCAACACAACGATGCAGCCACTACATGAATCAGCTCTTGGACTGGATTCAGGGGCATTTCCAAGCAGAGAACGCGGAGGGTAGCCCCTCGCCGAAAAAGCGGAGAGTTGAGAGACCTTCCGGCAGCGACTGCCGTCCTGACTTTGCTCCCGAGCCAGCCGACACCACGCTACCAGCCAACAGCCAAACGGGGGAACCACCACGGGAAGTACCGGTACGCCCTGACGATCCTCGACAGCACGACCCTGCACTACCACATCGAGATCCTGGAGGAGCTGAGCCGGGGGCCGCCCCGTACAACATCCTACGAGCCCAGCAACTGTTGGAAGGAGTCATGCCCTTCACCGAACAAGAGGTGGCGACAAGCCTTCAGGAAGTGCACTCCTTGCTTTTCCAATGGACGTCAAGCCTATGGGGTGTACCCATTGTGCTAAGCGACAGCCTGGGCAGCGAAGGGCCTTCAGCCACACCGCACCCTCAACTCGAAGAGGGACAAGAAGCTTTGCCTACACTACCTGCGGGAAACAGCAGTGATGAGACCGAGACAGTCACGGTGGACTCGCACCGTCGCCGCCGGCTGCATGCTCTCTTCAACGACTCGTGAAGCGCTCCGCTGAGTTGGCAAAAGCTCCAACAGAACAGCCGAGTAGGGGGTCAACCCCTGGGGTTACTTCGGATTTCAGGTTCCGTTGTCTTCGGTAGGTCCCGAAGGTTCTGTCTTGGGTGCTTTCGGTCTGCTTTTCGGATTTGAGGGGAGGGTTCCTTTCTCTGTTACGACAAAGGGGGTAAGACCTCGAAACCCAAAAGCACCAAACTGAGACCGGTCCAGTGGGCTTTGTTCGTTTCCTCTTTTTTTCGGGGCTGTTTCCCGTGAGTGTAGCTTTTCTCGATGCCTGGGGCCTCAGTTGAGTAGCAAGGACAACACCCTGGGAAGAACCCAGTGCAGGCTGAGCAGAGGACAGTTTTTCATCTCAGCCCCCCTTTTGTTTTTAGGCTCATTCTCCGATCTCTGATGCCCAGCTGCCTTGTTGTCGCACTGCATCATTTCACCATTGGCCCCGCAACAGTCGGGGGCGCTTGATGCGCGCGGGCGAGGGGCAGCCCTCGTCCGTAGCCCTGGCGAAAGAAAGGGTTGTTAAGTGACCACCGTCGACCTCATCCGGCAACCTCATCCGGCAATTCTCACAAACAGACCCGAAAGACCAGGGCGCGTTCACGCGCAGGGGGAAGGGGGTGCACTCGTTTCTCTCTTGTCTTGGCTGTGCAGAAGAAGAGAGAGACCCTCAGGCCTGGTAAAGGAAAGAGAGAGGGACGGAGGGAGAGGAAGTGAGGAGGCGGAAATTTTAGTTCTCAAGTTACAGAGCTGATGGTTACCGGAACAGGCTGAGATCCACGGCAACTTGGAGAGGCGGCTTCACACTCTGAAGGTGCCGGGCTTCTCACTCCAGAGAGAGAGAGACGGAGGTGCTCTATGGTGCTCTTGGCAGTGAGCCGTTGTCCTTGACTTTAAGCTACCTACTTGCCTTAGCAGGTCGTCGGACGGTTCCAACACGAGGGCACGTAATTGCTGCTAACGGCTGGGTGAGATGCTCTACACGAGAGGCACCCGCTAGCATCCATTACCCAGCAAATCTCACAGGCATACAGTATCAGTGGACGCTTTTGTCGCCTTCGCTTTGGAGTACTTCGCATGCTTGCTCGGACGATCTGGGTATCAAGGAACATCTTGCACGGCTTCGCTGAGTTGGCCCAAGCAGGATTGCCTTCATGAGCAGCAAGTAGGCGAAAACGACATTTCTGATTGTGGCCTAGCTTAGACGAGGTATTGCTTTTGCACTTAGTTTTAACAGGGCCTGCGACAGTCTTTCGCAGGGGCCATGTCACATGGCTCCATCTCCGAGAGTGAGGGGAACTTTTTACAGAGAGGTCACACATTCCCGCGATCTTTCTTCAGACTCGGAATTGTGACGGCGCTTGTTTGTGCCATCTGTGTATGTGTGCAATGTGCACCCGTCAATAGACAGTCCTGCTGCTTCTCCTGGGTATGCCTCGAAAGGATGCTGGACCTTCCGATTACATCGGACCACCTCCGCAATGCCCATGAGGAGGTCGGCAAATTCGACGGGTCAGGGCCCAGGTCTCGCATGGTTTTGGTCGGTGGAACTGCCCTGGTCTCCTTTGCCCTGGTGAAGCGAAGCCGGGCTGTCAAGAGAGCTATGCGAGTTGCTAGGCACAAGGTTGCACACTACACCCCTCGATGCATTGGACGCATGCTTGGTTCTACTCCGAGATTCTTAAACTGGAGGCCGCTGCGTCAGCCTGCCTTTGGCTGGCATCTTGGAGCTTCGCCTTGTCGTCAAAGCGGGCTTACTCCTGATCACACACCTTGGAATTCTCCGTTCAGCCGCGTTGCCTTCGTCAGGACAGTCTCGGTGCCGTCGGCAAGTCTAAGTACGGCTCTTGTCCTACCAGTTGCAAATCGGCGAGCGAAGACGTGCACAGCGTCGGCCCTGAAGGGCGTTGCAGCGAAGCTGCGAGATGCTGAAAACTTGGAGCCCAAATCTCCACCCGAGGACGATAGCCCTCGCCCTGCTGCCGAGCCGAAGCGTTCCACACGGCACGCTGCATCTGAAAATTCTCCTGGGACTGAGCTCCTTCTAGAGCTTGAGGAGATTTTTGATGCATGCGCTCCACCCAAAGGGTGTCTGTGTGAAGGGTCTTTCCAAAGAGTGGTGGCTCTCTTGAACGAACGGTTCGGTGTGGGAATTCAATGTCATGACGCAGAGCGACTTCGGATTCAATGCCAGAACGGACGAGGCGAAGTTGACCGCGGGGTCTTTCTCAGTGAGGTGGGCACCCTCTTGAAAGCACTCAGGTCTTCTCAGGGCCTCTCACTCACGCAGCTTCGGATCATTATGGCGACGGCGTTTGAACGCTTCGACACAGATGCAGATGGCAACATCAGTGAGACCGAGTTTGCAGCCGCCTTATCCAGTTGCGACATCCATCTGAGTGGGAGTGAAATAGCGGTGCTTTTGAAGCTCTTGTCGCCGGGCTCCACAGACGACGCGGTCTCTGTGATGAGAGAGGACCTTACGTCTGCGAGTTCTCCATCGAGCTTGGAGGACATACCTTTTTTCTTTTGAGCATGTGTTTTTGTTGCGTTGCCATGGCTCGGCATAAGTTGGTGTAACCCACTCGGCTTCCTTAAAGAATGCACTGAATTTTTTCTGTACCGGGCGAAGGAGCAAGTTCAGGCAGCTTTCGAGGGCGCACGCGAGAAGTTAGCCGACGCCACGGGATGGAACAGTGCGCTGACGATGGCAGAGCGGTTGCTTGCCGTCTTCAACGAGCCAGGCACCCCGAAGAGCCAGCTTTACCGCGCGATTGCTGCTTTTGTCGGGAAGGATGTGACAAGTGAGATGTTGGCTGACACAAGCGAGCTTCTCATCACCTTGGCAAGTGCGGTGCTTGTGTTGCAAGCCCATAGCCAAGAAGGGCAGATACTTCCGGCTGAATGGGTGGGTCAGTTCGGAGTCCTTGCAAATGACATGACCGGTGCATTCAACGATCTTTTCGACTCCGGCCCAATGGGCCCCGTGCTGTTGTCAGGGCTCCTGGGAGCCTTCAAATCCTTGCGGACTCATGAGCAAGTGTCCCTGAGTGAGAGAGAGGCTTTGCTCTTTGCTCGTGGCTTCCACGACAGAGGCTGCTCTACAACTCTCTTTCAAAAGCTGCTGGCATGCGGGCATTGCCAATGGACATTTGCTGCAGCAGGAGACATGTTGGAGGGATCGACGACAGGGCAGGTTCAAATTCTCGTGCGCGGGGAAGTAGAAATGCAGAGTTCAGAGAAATGTCTGACTATCCAACCCGGCGAGGTCATGAAGAGGTGCTGTGATGGCGAGAAGGTGATTGCATCTGCCAGTGCATTATACGTCACCCTTGATGCTGAACAGCTGGCCCAGTGCGTTCAGAACTCCTCCGACAGTCTCCTTGTCGCACTGGCCACGGAGCTTCTGGATGATGTCGGGATCGAAGAAGCGGGCGAGGTGGAAAGCCGTCTCGAAGTGCGAGAAGACACCGGGGCAAGGTCTCAAAGCCCGGATAGCTCGGAAAGTACGCAAGGATGGCTTTCGCCTCTCAAGGCGGCCCTGCAGGTGCAAGCCAAGCGAAAGGGCTTCTCATTATGCACAGAAATCACCGATGGCTTACAGCACATCATATCACAAACGGATATTTCCATGCCGGAGAAATTAGAGAGGTGTCGCGCACTGGTCCTCGACAATGCAGATGTTTTCGTTGAAAGCTTCGAGGCGCTTGTGGATATAACTGGAGCTTGTTCTGCACTTCTTGCTCTGTGGAACCATTCTTCAGCTCCGACACCAGAGAACATTCTCCAGCTGGCTCCAATAATGATTCTCCTGAGTCTAGTCCTTGTGCACGCTGCACGTCGTGGTGCATCGACCGTTTTTAGCTCCCTGGGTGTGGCGAGTCCATAGCTTCACGGATTTCCTCTTGCGTTTCGCCAGCTTGACACTGGCGTCTCGCGCCACTCGGTTGAAAGCATGGGGTTTTCAACGAGACTCATTGTGGCTTCGCGCATCCTCCTTTTCCAACTTTGCGCGAGCAACTATGCAATCTATGAGTACAGCCAAACGGTGGCCAGACTTTTTTTGAGTGAATATCAAGATATAATTGAAAATATGTGTGTTCGTTTATATCCTAGATGTAACTATACATACACAATGGTTTTATATTTATATATTTATATGTATGTAGATACAAACTATAACCCTTAGCGGTGAACAGAAGGGCACTTATTGAATCCTCGGCCACTCCTGCATTGTGCTTTCGGCACAGGTGATTTTCCCGCCTCCGAAAGGGTAGGTGAGATCTCTACATTGAATTCGTCTGCAGGCGGTAAGCCCGGCTTTCCGGCTTTTGTGAAACCACAGATTGTGCCGCCTTGGCACCTGCTGAACAAGCAGAATGCTGCAATGTCGGCTTGGCTTTCCCTCGTCACTCCCAGCCAGGCCTTGTCGCAGAGTTTGGGACAGAAAAAGTCATGCTGCATCATGTCACGCCCGGGAAGGATTAGCTGATAGCTGAACATACAAAGAGCTGGCTTGCTCGTTTCTGCTGCGGTGGGTGGCAGAATAGCTCCTTCTAGCCAGCTGGTCGTAGATTCGTCGTAGTATGACGATCGGATCGTTGTGGCAGGGTTCTGGTCAACTTCGCAAAGCGAAGCACCGAAATTTGCAGAGGCCAGGAGCATGGACAAGAGACTTTGGAGTAGACGGGCAGCTGAATCCTTGCTCCAGCCTTTTCCGACATTCGCGACGCCAAGCTGCGAGCCGGGGGCCCAGAATCTCAGGAAGGGTGAAAGTGGTGTGGATCTCTGAAGTCGCCTGGAACGGGTCTGAACGCCTCAGAGCCAGGCTGCGAAAGCTTCCGAACAGTGCCCTTGCAAGCCTCCCACAGGCCAGCATCTGCGGTTTTTCAGTACAGGCTACCTGAAAAAGATGTGTTTCAGATTCACGTTTCATCGGTGCTTCTGGCTTTTTGCATGCTGTGTTCACAGGCCGCGTGATACTGTCCTACCAAGCAGCCGTCTCAGACACCCAGCTTGCAAACGGTCCTGTGAGTGGAGCCTCTCCAGCCTTGCGGTCTTTTTTAACTTGACTTAGACATGACTGGTCCGGCCGACCGTTGCGGACCGACGCAGGTTGATTGAGGTGACTGCAGCCATGTGGCTCATTCGCACTTCCATTAAGCAACCTTTCCAAAGGAAAGAGCTGTGTCAAGGTTCTGCCTGCACCAGTCGGAGGCAACTTGGCCTCTGTGGTGCGTCAACGTCACGCTTTGCAAGAAGCTGCCGGGGCCTCCGGGTGTCTTTTGATTGGGTGATGTGAGATCTCGGCCAGTAGTGCCCGGCTGGTTTCTTTTCAGGAGCTCATGACGTCCGCAACATTGGCTGCTTCGGCTGCTTCAGCCACCATGGAGCCCACGGCGACGCTCCGATCCTCTATGACCCATCCGTACCTGACCAGTAAGTTCCAGGCACTGTTGCTGATGACAGAACAGAATCAAGGTCTTGCTTTTCATATTTTTGTCTCTCCCGCCCCAACTCAAGAAGCAGTGGTGAATCTTATGCAAGCGCGCGACGTGCCCTGACAGGTGGGGTCTGCCAAGAGTGACAAGATCAATTACACCTTGGCGCAGAAAGTTTTCCACAGTGGAGACGTGCCGCACGAGGTTGGGGTCAACAACCTCGGCTTATGCCTGTGTTGTTTCTTCAGACGTCGTGACAGGTCTCTTCGAACAGTTCCAGTTTGCAACAACTTTTGAATACGCAGCGCTACAATAATAGAAGTTCATAATAACTTAATAACGATAGTAGCAGTAGCAGTAGTAGTAGTAGTAGTAGTCGTCGTAGTGGTAATAGTAGTAGTAGTAGT